GTCACCTGTGTGTCTGTACATTGTATGTCAGTGTGTCACGTGTGTCTGTACATTGTATGTCAGTGTGTCACATGTGTGTCCGTACATTGTATGTCAGTGTGTCACATGTGTTTCATTACTTAGAGCATCAGTGTCACATGTGTTTTGTTACTTTGAGCGTCAGTGTGTCACATGTGTGTCCGTACATTGTATGTCAGTGTGTCACATGTGTGTCTGTACATTGTATGTCAGTGTGTCACATGTGTGTCCGTACATTGTATGTCAGTGTGTCACATGTGTGTCATTGCTTAGAGCATCAGTGTGTCACATGTGTTTCGTTACTTTGAGCGTCAGTGTGTCACATGTGTGTCACATCTTACTTTGTCACAACTGTACTGCATTAGTAATTATTGTGTAACAGCTGTATCAATAATTGATATTTGGATCAGTGTCTCACAGCTTCATCAATACTTGTTGTCACAGCTGTGTCCTGTTTCATTACTTGATGTGTCACAGCTGTATTACATTTCGTATTCCATTATGTCACAGCTGTGTTACATTTGGTATTCCATTATGTCACAGCTGTGTTACATTGGGTATTCCATTATGTCACAGCTGTGTTACATTTGGTATTCCATTGTGTCACAGCTGTGTTACATTGGGTATTCCATTATGTCACAGCTGTGTTACATTTGGTATTCCATTGTGTCACAGCTGTGTTACATTTGGTATTCCATTATGTCACAGCTGTGTTACATTTGGTATTCCATTATGTCACAGCTGTGTTACATTTGATATTCCATTATGTCACAGCTGTGTTACATTTGGTATTCCATTATGTCACAGCTGTGTTACATTGGGTATTCCATTATGTCACAGCTGTGTTACATTTGGTATTCCATTATGTCACAGCTGTGTTACATTTGGTATTCCATTATGTCACAGCTGTGTTACATTTGGTATTCCATTGTGTCACAGCTGTTTAAATACTTATTCTGAAATAGCAAAGGTTTCTTTGGCAAAACATCAAAGTATTTTGAGATTGTTTTTTGTAAACTTAGCACTCAGGATTATATGATATCGAATGGAATTTACCTGCTTGTAATTATGATGATATCATGTGATATTTTTGTGTTAGAAACAAAGTTTATAATGTGAAATCAGTTAGGTTGGAGTTGTTTACTCCAGTGCTGAAAATTGTCCAGCCAGTTTAATGTTAGATTGGACTTTCTCATTCCAGTGCTGTAAGATGTCCAGCCAGTTTAATGTTAGGTCAGAGTTTCTCACTCCAGTGCTGTAAGATGTCCAGCCAGTTTAATGTTAGGTCAGAGTTTCTCACTCCAGTGCTGTAAGATGTCCAGCCAGTTTAATGTTAGGTCGGAGTTTCTCACTCCAGTGCTGTAAGATGTCCAGCCAGTTTAATGTTAGGTTGGAGTTGTTTACTCCAGTGCTGTAAGATGTCCAGCCAGTTTAATGTTAGGTCAGAGTTTCTCACTCCAGTGCTGTAAGATGTCCAGCCAGTTTAATGTTAGGTCGGAGTTTCTCACTCCAGTGCTGTAAGATGTCCAGCCAGTTTAATGTTAGGTCAGAGTTTCTCACTCCAGTGCTGTAAGATGTCCAGCCAGTTTAATGTTAGGTCGGAGTTTCTCACTCCAGTGCTGTAAGATGTCCAGCCAGTTTAATGTTAGGTCGGAGTTTCTCACTCCAGTGCTGTAAGATGTCCAGCCAGTTTAATGTTAGGTCAGAGTTTCTCACTCCAGTGCTGTAAGATGTCCAGCCAGTTTAATGTTAGGTCGGAGTTTCTCACTCCAGTGCTGTAAGATGTCCAGCCAGTTTAATGTTAGGTCGGAGTTTCTCACTCCAGTGCTGTAAGATGTCCAGCCAGTTTAATGTTAGGTTGGAGTTGTTTACTCCAGTGCTGTAAGATGTCCAGCCAGTTTAATGTTAGGTCAGAGTTTCTCACTCCAGTGCTGTAAGATGTCCAGCCAGTTTAATGTTAGGTCAGAGTTTCTCACTCCAGGTCAAGGGCGGTAAAATTTCATTTACAGTGTATTACAATTGCTGACTTCATCCAGCATCTAGATTTGTGATTGTGAGCAGAGGTTTTTACTTCTCAGTGGGAACTTGAAATCAATTGTCTCTAAATCCAGAGTGATACTCTGAGGAAAACACACGGTATTGATTACTGGGTCAGTGGCTTAAAGGCCCACAGCTTATTGGAAGTCTTCCTTGTGTTCTCTTTGTTAAGGGTTAGTATCAGAGTGAATATAAGATATATCAGCTCCTTTTAACTCCTGAGAATCCTTCTGGGAAATACTTCCGGTAGATATTGATAATTGAGCAAGTTAGATACCTGTCAGTAATTAAAAAGTATAAAGTGTGATAGTAATTAAGACCCCGCACGAAAGTGTGGATGGCCTATAGTAATCATGATGTCCTTCCGTCTGTCTGTCCTTGCATCTGTCTGTTAGCACTTTTGATTCCGTGTGACATTTTGAGTTTGTTTGTGCCGATCAAACTCAAACAAAGCAGTACTTTCTTATTGAACATGGTTGCATGGGATTGCTTCACAGTTTTGAAGGTCAAAGGTCAAGGTCACTGTTACTATAAATAGAAAACTATAAATAGAAAAATCAGTTTCCCTGTGATAACTCAAGTTTGCTTTGGCAAACTCAAACCACATACAGTACTTCCTTACAAAAATGGGTTGCTTTTCAGGTCCCAGGGTCAATGATCCAGATTACTGCTACTCTTGGTAGAAAATTGGTTTCAGTGATATAACTTTAGTTTCCTTGGGCCAATCAAACTCAAACTTGATGCAATGTTTTCTTACAGAAAGTGCTTGTTAGGGATTACTTTTCAGACTAAGAAGTCAAGGTTAGAGATTATTGTTGCAATAATGGAAAATCCATTTTGTTGAATTTGCTGTAGCCAATCTAAGTTAATGTTGATGCAATGCTTCTTAACCAAAAGAGCTTGTTTGAAATAGATTACCATTCAGGTCCAATGGTTGAAGGTCACTGTTTACTTTCTATAAGGTAGAATAAGTTTTGTGTGATAACTCAAGTTTGCTTTGCCCAATCTAAATCAAACTTCATGGCCGCCATCTTGAAAACATCTTTTAAACTTCTTCTCAAGTTCCAATGGTGCCATTGGTGAGAATATCACGGACAGGTAGCCAATAAAGTGTTGTTATTTTCAACCTTGTCAAAACTTCAACACGGCAGCCAGGGTGGCCATTTTGTAACATGGTTGTGCTATCATGGTTTCCCTGTGCAACACTTCTTTCAAACTTCTTCTCAAGTTTTACCAGTTGGTATGAGTTCCAACTTGTCAAAAATAGGTATCACTTGTTATAGTTACCTACTCCTCACCAAAAGTACCATCTGCATCATGGAAAACACGGTTGGGTTGGTGGGTTGGTGAGAGGGGAGGAATTTCCAGCCACATAGCTTGGCCCTTGCTCACCTTTCAGTGTTCTAGTTAACAGGTGTTAAGTCTGACAGTAATTAACAAGTGTGAAGTCTGAATGTAATTAACAAGTGTTAAGTCTGACAGTAATTAACAAGTGTTAAGTCTGACAGTAATTAACAAGTGTTAAGTCTGACAGTAATTAACAAGTGTGAAGTCTGACAGTAATTAACAAGTGTTAAGTCTGACAGTAATTAACAAGTGTGAAGTCTGACAGTAATTAACAAGTGTGAAGTCTGACAGTAATTAACAAGTGTTAAGTCTGACAGTAATTAACAAGTGTGAAGTCTGACAGTAATTAACAAGTGTTAAGTCTGACAGTAATTAACAAGTGTGAAGTCTGAATGTAATTAACAGGTGTTAAGTCTGACAGTAATTAACAAGTGTTAAGTCTGACAGTAATTAACAAGTGTGAAGTCTGACAGTAATTAACAGGTTAAGTCTGACAGTAATTAACAAGTGTTAAGTCTGACAGTAATTAACAAGTGTTAAGGCTGACAGTAATTAACAGGTTAAGTCTGACAGTAATTAACAAGTGTGAAGTCTGACAGTAATTAACAAGTGTTAAGTCTGACAGTAATTAACAAGTGTTAAGTCTGACAGTAATTAACAAGTGTTAAGTCTGACAGTAATTAACAAGTGTGAAGTCTGACAGTAATTAACAAGTGTTAAGTCTGACAGTAATTAACAAGTGTGAAGTCTGACAGTAATTAACAAGTGTTAAGGCTGACAGTAATTAACAGGTTAAGTCTGACAGTAATTAACAAGTGTTAAGTCTGACAGTAATTTTAACAGGTGCTACAAATTTTAACTAGTTTGAAGTGTAGTTAGGTTTGGAAGCAATTTTTCATGCTATTTTAATGTTGTTTGACATGAAAGAGAATCCCAGATGGAACAAACTTTATCTCAATATATCGTTGTACCTAGCATTCAAAAAGAGAGGTTTATAGACTTCCAGATGTGTTGCAGACGAATCAACAGCCAACTTACACATTAAAAGCAAGGTGTAAAATAGACACAATTAGATTTTCTGGTGTATTTAAAAAGGCATCTAGCATATAGAAAGTGAGCTGTTTAGTGTACAACACTGTACCATGTTCTGTGGAAAATCATAAATTGATTTATTTGGGCTGATAATCATCCACACACTAACAAATTTACTCCACTATACATATTTTGGGACTTATTAAGTTATATGGACTTCTATTCTCATTGGCCTTTGTTTAGTAATGAGGATTTCTACTGTTATTTTGGACTTATTGTGATAGCAACCTATAATATTATTGGGACTTAGAAAGTAATAGGGACTTCTGCTGTTATTTGCACTTATTTAGTAAAAAATATTTCTAATGTTATTGAGGCTTATCCAGTGAAATTGAAACAGAATGAAGACTGAAAGGACGAACAAGAAAAATATTATACTTGTACAAAAAGACAAAATAAATGTACAGTGACTTAAAATCAAGGGTTACTTACATCCTGAAAGTGAAATTACAATTTTTATGAAAAAAGAGAACCATTTTCAGAATAGATTTTCTTGACTTTTGCAGATTGTAAGTTTAACTGTCACAAGAAGTGTGCCCAGTATGTCCCTAAAGATTGCACTGGAGAGATGTTACAGTATGATGGGGGTAAGTTTAAGCATCTGGTGTGTGTTACTGTTACAACAATGAAAGTGATAAGACCTAGAGTCACAAACTTTTTAGGCTACCTAAGTCCGAGTGTCCATCGTGTAATAAGCGTCTTAAGAAGTTTTACCATATTTGACTTCTTTTTCTAAGGGGTTTTGTCGACTTCTGCAGTGGTCAAGTGGTTTAGGCATGTAAACATCTTTATCACTAGCTCTCCACCGCTGGGTCGCAGGTTCAGCTTCTACATGTGGTATTTACCAGGTACTGGCCACAGGTCAGTGGTTTTTCTCGAGGAAATCAGGTTTTGCTTCACCACCCAAATATGGCACATCCTTAAATGACCCTGGCAGTTCATAGGACGTACAGCAATAATGAACTAATGCTTGTGCTCAGTGATATAAATAGATTTATATAGAAAATTGATAATGATGTGTCATGTTTTGTCAGCCCCGGAACCCAGTGAGATGGGAGACACAAATAGCACTATTGATACAGACAACACAGATGCCCTATCATTCTCATATGAGGAAGGATCACCACCAGAGGAGGAAGAGGAATCAGACCCAAAACCTCCGCTCAGGTGAGTTGAACTTAAGTTATCGCTTAGATGAGCAGAACTCAAAGTCAAACTAGCACTCCTATAAGTGGAATGCAATCTACCACTCAGATGAGGAGAACTCAAAGTACCAATCATATGAGTAGAACTCAAACTAACACTCAGGTGAGTATAACTCAGTCTACTGCTCAGATGAGTAGAACTCAAACTCAGTATACTGCTCAATTGAGTATAGAATTAAAATTACTACCCAGTTGAGTAGACCTCAAATTACCAATCATATGAGTAGAACTCAAACTCAGTCTACTGCTCAGATGAGTTTAGAATTCAAAATACTACCCTGTTGAGTAGACCTCAGAGTACCAATCATATGAGTGGAACTCAGACTTATCTTTGGTAGAACTCCAACGATTTCCTAGCTGAGTAGAAACCTTATTATTGCTTGATCTTAATTAAAGCTCAAGTTCCAAATCTTCTTGGTATAGAGTGAGATCAGATGATAAATTAGTCATCCTGCTACCAAGTCCAGACTCAATATATATTTTGTATTTCATATGATTAGTGATTTCTGTACAAAAATCCTCTCGTTTCAGCCCAACTGGTAGTAACATTCCACTTCAGAGAATTGTGCAATCAATTAAACACACAAAAAGGACTGGGTCCAAAATCATCAAGGAAGGATGGATGGTCCATTACTCCGACAGAAACCCCCAGGTACACAGATAATCTTACATGCAGTGTTTGGATGATGACGTCCATATGAAGTATTTAGAAACACAGCTAAGTCATTATGATGATTTTATACCACTTAAAAAATCCTGTGGTAGATCCTTCAGATTTCTGTCCTTCTGTTGAGATACAGGGGATGGTACCTGTATAGAATGTACAAGGACATTGGACTTTAACAGATGTTATCTGTACCTGTTATATAATTAATGCATACAAAGTCAGTATTGTCTGGGTATAGGTCAATACACACTGATATTTTTAGTTAATGTTGGGTGACAGCCGATCATTAAAAAAACCTAAACAAAGCATATCTGATTATACATATGTAGGTAGAACTTCATAAGCTGAAGATATTACTTATTAGCTCTTGAAGAAAAGCAGGTTTATGATTTAGTATACGTTTGCTGCAGATATTGAAATACATGAATATTTTATTAAATATGGGTATTGTCATATCTGGTAATTATGAAGTTTTTTAGTGTAAAATTCACTAAGCAGAGTTGAAATGGATTTTTTTCAATTGCAAATTTTACATATTTTTAGACTTCAAGTTTTGTTTGGTTAAAGTTTACTTGTGTAACAGAACAGGAAGAAAACATATACCAATCAAGCACCCCACCAGGAATCAAATCCATATCGAAACCAACTGAGCCAAAGAAGTATGCTCTGTGGCTGAGTGACAGAGAATTTATTTATTACTGTACAAACCACACTGACTTACTTCTTTTACACTTGCAAGTATTAAAACATGCTAGTTTCAAGAAGTATTGTGTCACTACAGTGAAGTTTTTAGCTAGTTTTTAGTTAGGTACTTAATCACAACATACCCTCAAATAGAGATAAAGTACCCCAGGTATTTACCAGCCACAACATACCCTCAAATAGAGATAAAGTAACCCAGGTATATACCAGCCACAACATACCCTCAAATAGAGATAAAGTAACCCAGGTATTTACCAGCCACAACATACCACATGGCTAGAGATAAAGTAACCCAGGTATATACCATCCACAACATACCACATGGCTAGAGATAAAGTAACCCAGGTATATACCAGCCACAACATACCACATGGCTAGAGATAAAGTAACCCAGGTATATACCAGCCACAACATACCACAAGGCTAGAGATAAAGTAACCCAGGTATATACCAGCCACAACATACCACATGGCTAGAGATAAAGTAACCCAGGTATAAACCAGCCACAACATACCACATGGCTAGAGATAAAGTAACCGAGGTATATACCAGCCACAACATACCACATGGCTAGAGATAAAGTAACCCAGGTATATACCAGCCACAACATACCACATGGCTAGAGATAAAGTAACCCAGGTATATACCAGCCACAACATACCACATGGCTAGAGATAAAGTAACCCAGGTATATACCAGCCACAACATACCACATGGCTAGAGATAAAGTAACCCAGGTATATACCAGCCACAACATACCACATGGCTAGAGATAAAGTAACCCAGGTATATACCAGCCACAACATACCACATGGCTAGAGATAAAGTAACCCAGGTATATACCAGCCACAAAATACCACATGGCTAGAGATAAAGTAACCGAGGTATATACCAGCCACAACATTCCACAAGGCTAGAGATAAAGTAACCCAGGTATATACCAGCCACAACATACCACATGGCTAGAGATAAAGTAACCCAGGTATATACCAGCCACAACATACCACATGGCTAGAGATAAAGTAACCCAGGTATATACCAGCCACAACATACCACATGGCTAGAGATAAAGTAACCCAGGTATATACCAGCCACAACATACCACATGGCTAGAGATAAAGTAACCCAGGTATATACCAGCCACAACATACCACATGGCTAGAGATAAAGTAACCCAGGTATATACCAGCCACAACATACCACATGGCTAGAGATAAAGTAACCCAGGTATATACCAGCCACAACATACCACATGGCTAGAGATAAAGTAACCCAGGTATATACCAGCCACAACATACCACATGGCTAGAGATAAAGTAACCCAGGTATATACCAGCCACAACATACCACATGGCTAGAGATAAAGTAACCCAGGTATATACCAGCCACAACATACCACATGGCTAGAGATAAAGTAACCCAGGTATATACCAGCCACAACATACCACATGGCTAGAGATAAAGTAACCCAGGTATATACCAGCCACAACATACCACATGGCTAGAGATAAAGTAACCCAGGTATATACCAGCCACAACATACCACATGGCTAGAGATAAAGTAACCCAGGTATATACCAGCCACAACATACCACATGGCTAGAGATAAAGTAACCCAGGTATATACCAGCCACAACATACCACATGGCTAGAGATAAAGTAACCCAGGTATATACCAGCCACAACATACCACAAGGCTAGAGATAAAGTAACCCAGGTATATACCAGCCACAACATACCAGCCAGCCACAACATACCACATGGCTAGAGATAAAGTAACCCAGGTATATACCAGCCACAACATACCACATGGCTAGAGATAAAGTAACCCAGGTATATACCAGCCACAACATACCACATGGCTAGAGATAAAGTAACCCAGGTATATACCAGCCACAACATACCACATGGCTAGAGATAAAGTAACCCAGGTATATACCAGCCACAACATACCACATGGCTAGAGATAAAGTAACCCAGGTATATACCAGCCACAACATACCACATGGCTAGAGATAAAGTAACCCAGGTATATACCAGCCACAACATACCACATGGCTAGAGATAAAGTAACCCAGGTATATACCAGCCACAACATACCACATGGCTAGAGATAAAGTAACCCAGGTATATACCAGCCACAACATACCACATGGCTAGAGATAAAGTAACCCAGGTATATACCAGCCACAACATACCACATGGCTAGAGATAAAGTAATATAAAGTAACCCAGGTATATACCAGCCACAACATACCACATGGCTAGATAAAGTAACCCAGGTATATACCAGCCACAACATACCACATGGCTAGAGCATTTAAAGTAAAGTATATACCAGCCACAACATACCACATATATACCAGCCACAACATACCACATGGCTAGAGATAAAGTAACCCAGGTATATACCAGCCACAACATACCACAAGGCTAGAGATAAAGTAACCCAGGTATATACCAGCCACAACATACCACAAGGCTAGAGATAAAGTAACCCAGGTATATACCAGCCACAACATACCACAAGGCTAGAGATAAAGTAACCCAGGTATATACCAGCCACAACATACCACATGGCTAGAGATAAAGTAACCCAGGTATATACCAGCGACAACATACTACTTTGCTAGAGAGAACTTTTCTGGGATCCTCTGACTGTAGAATAGCAAGAGCCAGAGGCTTAATGTTAGGTCCCTGGTAGAGGGAGGCATTAAAATTAATCATGACCTTTGTTAGATTGAGAAATGTTCAAACTATAGTTTTAACGCATTTCAAGTATGAACACCAAACCTTCGATATATTGAGATGAAAACAATCATTGTATGGACTGTACAACAATACCTATTTATTTACAGAGAAAAAGGCATTATTGGAAGTTAGACTCCAAGTCAATCACTCTTTACCAGTCAGAAAATACCAGTAAATACTACAAGGTATGTGTACCCTGAGTCAATCACTCTTTACCAGTCAGAAAATACCAGTAAATACTACAAGGTATGTGTACCCTGAGTCAATCACTCTTTACCAGTCAGAAAATACCAGTAAATACTACAAGGTATGTGTACCCTGAGTCAATCACTCTTTACCAGTCAGAAAATACCAGTAAATACTACAAGGTATGTGTATCCTGAGTCAATCACTCTTTACCAGTCAGAAAATACCAGTAAATACTACAAGGTATGTGTACCCTGAGTCAATCACTCTTTAGCAATCAGGCCGGTATATACCACAAGGTATGTAGACTCTGAGTCAATCACTCTTTACCAGTCAGAAAATACCGGTAAATACTACAAGGTATGTAGACTCTGAGTCAATCATTCTTTACCAGTCAGAAAATACCGGTAAATACTACAAGGTGGGGGTCACTGGGATTGATTGATCTGCAGGGGTTTAGGATATTTGTATCCTCAGGATGACAGGTCTAGTTTTGATTTATCAAATTGAATTTATCTGTGTATAAAAGAACACTTATACAGGTGACTTAGATTTTGTTATTGAAATGTTAGGATGGATACAATCAGTGTTTGATAGAAAAATTTGAGGGGTTCTGTTTTATTTCTGCTCAGATTGATTTGTAGCCAGGTGTTAATTTTTTCTGCTGTCTGATTTTTCCTTTCCTGTTTTGAATCGGATGTATAGTACAAATCACATTCTTACACGATATCCTCACAATTGCTTTGATTCTAGGAAATACAATTAGCTGACATATTATGCATAGAGCAAGCCAAGGTGAAACAACAGGTGGACATGTCCAGGGCACCCAATGTGTTTGAGATTCGTCTTCAGTCTGCCACCTATTTTGTTGGGGAGGATCCCACTTTCAATGGACGGGAGGGTAATATTGTTGTGTCGTCTGAAAGTGGAAGTGGACTGGAGCAGGCCCGTTATTGGGAACACGCCATTCGTCAGGCCCTCATGCCAGTTACTCCAACAACCAGTGTGGTAGGAGGTGAGTTTAATATATCTGTGTTGTATTGTCCCGTGTCATTCCTACAACCACTGTGGTCCCTAGGGGGTGAGTGTGATCTAACAGTTTTGTGTCGTCCCTAAGTCATTCCTACAACCACTGTGGTCCCTAGGGAGTGAGTGTGATCTAACAGTTTTGTGTCATCCCTAAGTCATTCCTACATCCAGTGTGGTCCCTAGGGGGTGAGTGTGATCTAACAGTTTTGTGTCGTCCCTAAGTCATTCCTACAACCACTGTGGTCCCTAGGGGGTGAGGGCGATATAACAGTTTTGTGTCATCCCTAAGTCATTCATACAACCACTGTGGTCCCGAGGGGGTGAGTGTGATCTAACAGTTTTGTGTTGTCCCAAAGTCATTCCTACAACCACTGTGGTCCCTAGGAAGTGAGAGTGATCTAACAGTTTTGTGTCGTCTCTAAGTCATTCCTACATCTAGTGTGGTAGAAGTTGAGTTTGATCTATATAGAGATTGACAGCTTGTGACCAGCCCATTAGTGATGACTCTTCATTTGTAGAATGTCTTCAATATCAATTGTAGTAATTTTCAATAAGGAAAGGTATGACTAAAATTTATTCTCTTATATTACAGAGAAACAAGGTCAGCAGGGTTCAGGAACTGATGAACAACAGGTAAGCATACTGACTGGTGACAAGTAGGCTAACTGACCAACAACAGGTAAACATGACTGGTGACAGGTAGACAAACTGACCAACAACAGGTAAACATGACTGGTGACAGGTAGGCAAACTGACCAACAACAGGTAAACATGACTGGTGACAGGTAGGCAAACTGACCAACAACAGGTAAACATGACTGGTGACAGGTAGGCAAACTGACCATCAACAGGTAGACATGCTGACTGGTGACAGGTAGACAAACTGACCAACAACAGGTAAACATGACTGGTGACAGGTAGACAAACTGACCAACAACAGGTAAACATGACTGGTGACAGGAAGGCAAACTGACCAACAACAGGTAAACGTGATGACTGGTGACAGGTAGGCTAACTGTCAACAACAGGTAAACATGCTGACTGGTGACAGGTAGACAAACTGGCCAACAACAGGTAAACATGCTGACTGGTGACAGGTAGACAAACTGACCAACAACAGGTAGACATGCTGACTGGTGACAGGTAGGCTAACTGTCAACAACAGGTAAACATGCTGACTGGTGACAGGTAGACAAACTGACCAACAACAGGTAAACATGCTGACTGGTGACAGGTAGACAAACTGACAAACAACAGGTAAACATGCTGACTGGTGACAGGTAGACAAACTGACCAACAACAGGTAAACATACTGACTGGTGACAGGTAGGCTAACTGTCAACAACAGGTAAACATGCTGACTGGTGACAGGTAGACAAACTGACAAACAACAGGTAAACATGATGACTGGTGACAGGTAGACAAACTGACCAACAACAGGTCAACATACTGACTGATGACTTTGTTTTCAACTCATGCCTGAGAACACTGTGTTTTGAAGTGTTTTTTTTTTTTGCAAACAAGTGCCTACAACAGCCACAATTTTCTGATTGGTAGAGGAAATAAAGCTAAAAATAAAAACCTTTGACAATTTATTAAAGAAATGTTGAATCTCTGTAATTCATAGTTTGAAGTGGTTTGTCCATTCCATTGCTAACTAAATCATGTGAGCCTGTGTCCAGAATTTGAATGCAGTCATTTGTAGATTTGTGTATTTATTGTGTTGCTGCAAGTTATTTGTAAGAATAATGTATGTAGGAGATATATATTGTGTGCAGTATTTTGTTGTTCAGGATATTAGCCAGCTGTACCAGATCTATCCGGATGATGTACTAGGATCAGGACAGTTTGGTATTGTTTATGGAGGTAGGTTCTGCGTATATAAATTAGCTGCAGAAAGTTTCACCAGAAATAGTACTCCAAGTGTCCCTAAACATTTCAATTGATTTGGCACAGTTCTTGTTCTTAATATCAAATTTAAACCTAAAATTATTCACAATGCCAAATACCCTTCAGGCATTATTTCATTTGCTCATTAGTATCTTTAAGTAAGTATTCTATAGTTCAATCATTTTGAAACCAAAACTGATTACAAAAGCATTTGTTTTCCCAAGAACAAGGTGCTTTGACTCAAATAAGTGTAATGTTGATAGTCATTCATTAGACTGTACAATTTTCTTTACACAGGGAAACATAGGAAAACAAACAGAGAAGTGGCAATCAAAGTGATAGATAAATTAAGATTTCCCACGAAACAGGAGGCTCAACTCAAAAATGAAGTATCAATTTTACAGGTAAGACCCAAGGCAGGCCTCTAATTTGTACAGGTAAGAAACAAGGCAGGCCTCTAATTCCTACAGATAGCAAGACACAAGGCAGGCCTCTAATTCCTACAGGTAGTAAACAAGGCAGGCCTCTAATTCCTACAGGTAGTAAACAAGGCAGGCCTCTAATTCCTACAGATAGCAAGACACAAGGCAGGCCTCTAATTTCTACAGATAGCAAGACACAAGGCAGGCCTCTAATTCCTACAGATAGCAAGACACAAGGCAGGCCCCTAATTTCTACAGATAGCAAGACACAAGGCAGGCCTCTAATTCCTACAGATAGCAAGACACAAGGCAGGCCCCTAATTTCTACAGATAGCAAGACACATGGCAGGCCCCCAATTTCTACAGATAGCAAGACACAAGGCAGGCCTCTAATTTCTACAGATAGCAAGACACATGGCAGGCCCCTAATTTCTACAGATAGCAAGACACATGGCAGGCCCCCAATTTCTACAGATAGCAAGACACAAGGCAGGCCTCTAATTTCTACAGATAGCAAGACACATGGCAGGCCCCTAATTTCTACAGATAGCAAGACACAAGGCAGGCCTCTAATTTCTACAGATAGCAAGACACATGGCAGGCCCCTAATTTCTACAGATAGCAAGACACATGGCAGGCCCCTAATTTCTACAGATAGCAAGACACAAGGCAGGCCTCTAATTCCTACAGATAGCAAGACACAAGGCGGGCCTCTAATTCCTACAGTTAGTAAGAGACTAGACTGGCCTCTAATTTCTACAGATAGCAAGACCCAAGGCAGGCCTCTAATTTCTGCAGATAGCAAGACCCAAGGCAGGCCTCTAATTTCTACAGATAGCAAGACACAAGGCAGGCCTCTAAATTCTACAGATAGCAAGACACAAGGCAGGCCTCTAATTTCTACAGATAGCAAGACACAAGGCGGGCCTCTAATTCCTACAGGTAGTAAACAAGGCGGGCCTCTAATTTCTACAGATAGCAAGACACAAGGCGGGCCTCTAATTCCTACAGGTAGTAAACAAGGCAGGCCTCTAATTCCTACAGGTAGTAAGAGACTAGTCTGGCCTCTAATTCCTACAGGTAGTAAACAAGGCAGGCCTCTAATTCCTGCAGTTAGTAAGAGACTAGGCTGGCCTCTAATTCCTGCAGGTAATAAACAAGACAGGCCTCTAATTTCTACAGAGAGACTAGGCTGGCCTCTAATTCCTACAGGTAGTAAACAAGGCAGGTCTCTAATTACTACAGGTAGTAAACAAGTCTGGTCTCTAATTACTACGGGCAGTAAACAAGTCTGGTCTCTAATTACTACAGGTAGGAAACAAGTCTGGTCTCTAATTACTACAGGTAGTAAACAAGTCTGGTCTCTAATTACTACAGGTAGTAAACAAGTCTGGTCTCTAATAACTACGGGCAGTAAACAAGTCTGGTCTCTAATTACTACAGGTAGGAAACAAGTCTGGTCTCTAATTACTACAGGTAGTAAACAAGTCTGGTCTCTAATTACTACAGGTAGTAAACAAGTCTGGTCTCTAATTACTACAGATCCTGAACAAGGCTGGCCTCTAATTCCTACAGATCCTGAACAAGGCTGGCCTCTAATTCCTACAGATCCTGAACAAGGCTGGCATACATTTTATTTAGGAACTCTTGATAGTAGTCATGATTTTCTGTGAACACTGCTTATGCAATAATTTGGTCTCGGTCTGGGCAAGGATCTATTCACAAATACAACTAAAAAAGATTATCAGAACATATTAGATCAGAGAGTTCAGGTGTTAAATGTCTAATAAAATCTTTAGTAGCTCTTCTGCCCTGTTCATGTCTTGTGATTGATTTAGTCTACAAGTCATTATATTACTTTTTGTATTTTAGAACTTACATCATCCAGGAGTTGTAAACTTAGAGAAGATGTTTGAAACTCCTGAACGGGTAAGTGTGACAGTACATATGTATACATCCATCAGATACACATGTTGTACTTAATCTCTTTAATATGTCTACTATATGACTACCTTGTTATCAGTGTATTAAAATTCATTATACAACTACCCTGTTATCAGTACAATAACACACATGGTATAACTACCCTGTTATCAGTACAATAACACCCATTATATAACTACCCTGTTGTCAGTGTGATAACACCCATTATATAACTACCCAGTTATCAGTGTGATAACACCCATTATACAACTACCCTGTTATCAGTGCAATAACACACATGATATAACTACCCTGTTATCAGTGTAATAAGTTTCACTACCTAAAATGCATTTAACCACACATCTGATAACACCTAGCTGAGTTGTGATTGGATAAAGGTTTTATTATGGTTGTAGTGACATCATATTTTCATGGCATCACATGCATTTTGATGGCACCAAAGAGACAAAGAGTGAGAACATCATTAATCTGGATTTTTATTAATCTGATTAAATGTTGTTTTGACAAATGCTTGTTAAAGTTTTTAAGTTAGGTGTTAAAAACAATCTCACATTTCATAGAAGATTTAGGGTCCTGAATTCAAGAAATCTCTAACACCAAAGTTGACAAAATCAGTATAGATGCTACCTTATCATCAGAAGCTGATACCATTTGTAAACCATATTTATAATGGTGTGAAATCAGTTGTAATAAAACATGACATGGTGTTTTTTTCTCCCCAGATATTTGTTGTGATGGAAAAGCAGAAGGGTGATATGTTAGAAATGATTCTATCTAGTCCAAAAGGTCGACTCAGTGAAAGGGTGACCAAATACCTTATATCTCAGGTAAGTAAACATACACATTAAGGTATGGCCATCTTTTCCACTTGCACGACACTTTTCCTCATTAACATCTGACTCAGTAGTGCTATACAAAAATCCACACTAACATGTGGCACACAATTGTATCTTGACATAATTTTCATTATATCTTCTATTTCAGATTCTGGTTGCTCTTAAGCATCTACACTCTAAACATATAGTACACTGTGATCTGAAGCCTGAGAATGTTCTGTTATCATCAGAGACAGCCTTCCCTCAGGTAAGTAACCACACCTGTCTGTTGTCATGGAAAGCTGCCATATCCCAGGTGATTAACCACACCTGTTTATTGTCGTCTGAGACTGCTCTATCTCAGGTATACAGTATTGTTATATGTTTTAATGCATTCAATTGTTCATTAGCAATTGCATACGTGATATTATTGTATGAAAATATTATAATGAAACATGAACATAGATATAACAGGTTGCAGTAGGCAACATTGTTTGTTTTAGAAGTAAAGGTGATTCCTGATAAAATTGAAATAAATTAGTTCTAACTTTTTACAACTTTAAGTAGTGGTAGGGTTATCAAAAACATTGATTTTGATTGATTTTCAGGTGAAATTATGTGATTTTGGTTTTGCACGTATCATTGGTGAAAAGTCTTTCCGTAGATCTGTGGTAGGCACCCCAGCTTACCTTGGTAAGTATAGTAATATCTACATACCTTTTTAAGACAAGAGTCTATTGCATGAAGGTCAGAATGTAGAATGTATTAGTTCTATGATAATGGTAGGAAAATTGATTGACCTGCTAGAAATCAATTTTAAATAAGTAACTGCTTGATATTTTTTTTTGTTACAAATAGACACTTTCAGTTATATCTTATCCTTGCATACAGTTTTACATCTGTTACAAAATATATGTCACGGTCCAAAGCACTTTTTTTTTTTTTTTTTGAGAACAGCTCCAGAGGTGCTCAAGAGTAAAGGCTACAATCGGTCTCTAGATATGTGGTCAGTAGGAGTGGTCATCTATGTTAGGTAAGGCTGTAATCTAATTCTAAATACAACTGCAACCAGTATCAGAACAGGATTGTTAGAAGGGAGATAACTGTGAGCATTTTCAGAAAATAATTTTAGAAGGGAGATATTAAATTCAAAATATATTGTAAGAAGGGAGATAACTGAGAATTTTATCCAAAAAATGTTTTTTTACAGTTCACAGGACAGTGTCATGTCTTTTATTACAGTATTAGTGGAACATTCCCTTTTAATGAGGATGAGGAAGTCAGTGATCAGATACAGAATGCCTCCTTCATGTATCCTCCTAACCCCTGGAAGGACATATCGCAAGAAGGTAACCTCCTCTAATACATTTAAAACTGTTATGTTCTAGAGATTTTTTATACATTCATACATTTCAAAAATTGATAATGATAAAAAGAATAGCTTCCTTAGTTATGGAAGTCAAATATTAAAACGTATTGTATCCAGTTATTAGACAATTGGTTATATCTTTATGTTGTTTGGTGTTTTAATTGATATACTATAATAGATTAACCAGACAAGAAAATTTCATAATAGTGGACAATATTTCAATTGTTTAAAACTATAGACTGGTTTGGTTTTCACTTTGTTTCATACACAAGCTGTTGCGTTACCTGCTGCCAATGTATTACTAGCATGTCGTTTATTTTTGGGACACTTAATTACAAAAGGGGCAGTAACTCTTGCATGACTACACATTGGAGTATGTTATGTTGTATAGTTCATAATGAAGTGTGTTTAGTACCTTGTTCTCCCACTGAAGTAAATGCTGAAAGTTCAGTATGTTAAAAAAAGTGGCATGACTGCATTTTGCTTGCTTATTCAAAGAGTGTTACTTTCTAGTTACTGTCAGCATCAGTGCCAGCACTGATTGAAGGCTTGAAATGTATGCTGAGGATGTGATTGTGGAACCTAGGATGTTGTAGTGAACTCAATAGTGATTTTTTTTATATTTTATACTCTTATTAATATTATTTACAAATTTTGAACAACTTGTGCCTTCATTTCCTGCCAAAATCCTAATGCTTATATGTAAAGTTTGCTATAAATATTGAAATTCAGTATAAATTGGAAGTCAAATTAATACTGTATTATTATTTGTAAATTCTTTAAATAGGCAAGCTATGCTGTCCTCCATCACCTTTGTTATGTGATGAATCTGTTCCCATCTTGTATGTTAGAAGTTTTCCGCTTAAATATTGTATCGTGATCACTTTTCGGGATAAAATTGTATACCTGAATTATAATCGATGTATAGGAAAAGCATTTAGTTAATAGTAGAAAGAAAACTATCAATATTCAATTTAAAATATTCTTTGAAATAACATATTGTGAGATGTTAGTGTAATGGGTTAATAGAATAAGGAAGTTTTACAAGTTAGTAGATTAAGGACTTTTAACAGGTTATTAGAATAAGAAAGTGTAATAGGTTAGAAGAATAAGGACGTTTTAACACCCTGGTTAGTAGAATAAGGAAGTTTAAAGGTGAACAGAATACAGGTGTGGTAATTTTCTGTTTTCCCTTTACCTGGCAAATTTCCATTTGTTCTGCTCAAACTTTCCCATTGATGGAAATTGAGCGAAATAAAATATGTGACCAAAGTTACTGAATTAGAAAGAAAAAAGTTGTATGCAAAGTGTAGATAGGTTTGATAACAAGCTCCACCCACCCCTTGTGTCATTAGATAGGTTTGATAACAAGCTCCACCCACCCCTTGTGTCAGATGGTCGAATCATTCCTTTACAAGCTCTGCCCACCTGTCTCCAGATTGGCTAGGTGCATCCTCTTTGAGCACAGGCATGTTTTAGTTCTTAAACTAAAATTCAAGACTATCATGGGACTATGAAGTAAAATAGGAAAACATGATAGGGTGTAATTTTGTATACAGCAAATAGAAAATATAGATAGATTAACCTTGATTGTGGTCTATCGTAATTCTGTATTTATCAGATGGTACGATACTTACATAGTGTTTATTTTACTCTCATGTTTATTTTTCAGCTAAAAGTTTTATCAAGCAAATATTTGTTACAAACTTGCAAAAGCGGCCTCCAGTTTACCAGATAATGACCCATCCGTGGCTTGTACAGGTTCAATTGCTGTTATCTTGTGTTTCTGCTGTGTAGTCTCACCGTATGTTGTTATAAATACAAATCATTGTAAACAAAATAATGAGAAATACAAAGTGTAAACAAATTTCTGACACAAGTTGTCTCTGTTACAGAGTGATGTAACCTTATTAGCTCCAAAACTTGTTTTTATAATCAAAACGACCTGCAGAATAAATGATTTGTATTTTTGCAGTTGGTGTTAGTTGTTCAAACTTTCATAGGCTGTTTGGGTTTATTTTTACCCTACATTTTCTAATTGAATATGTCTCACTTTGAAGATAGTTACTTTGAAATCTTTCCAAATCAGAATACTGGTTGTGAAAGTTATTAAATATTCAAAATGTTGGCAGCCTTGTGTGACTTTGAACAACTGTGCCAGTATGTAGGTTTTGATAGTATCATCATGCGATAGTCTCATAACGTCACAAGATGATATTGTATGTAGCTTTCATTCACGCTTCACTAACTTTTCTTTTGCAGCTCTTTACACACAGAAACAACACATAGTTAACACACATTTAAAGGCCAATACCAGATGCCCTTTATACATTGTTGGCTTGTAAAAGATACTTCAGTATTATTAATCATCATTTGTTAGATAGGTATAGATGGGTTTTTTTGTTAGTTTTTTTCCTCTCTCTCTCTTTTTCTCTCTTTAGTCATTAAAAAACGTTTCTTCAATTTGAATGATATATTGCAGAGAAGCATTAAAATGTAACATAAATTGGCCTTGTGTTTATTGGTGAATCATTACTAGCTCTCCATCATGCCATTAGATTGCCTTTGTGTAATAGATGTGATAGGTTGAAAACTAATTGATGTGGTGTGTATGGAGTGCACTCCTGACTTAAACTCAGCCTTGGTTAGCTAGTACTTAACAAAACGCTTTATCTATAAATATATTGTTTCCTCAATCCCTCGTAACAAAATATTATTCAGTATTGAAAAAAAGAAATAAGTATAAGATTCCATGAATTAAAATGTAAGATATTCCTTTTCTATAAGAAAACCAGGCCTTTTTGATAGGAATCCAGGTAAACGAAGAAAGAATTTTAACATGTACCAGACGTCCAGTCATTGGGTAGAATCAAGCTCTTCCTTTGTGGATCTACTGGCTGTGGTTGTAAGCTGGAGACAGTGTGTGACCGTTTTTGACCTTTTGACCTTAGTTGACCTTTAATAATCTTCCTCCTTGTGTTACAGCTATAGACCTCATCACAAACCTCCTCCAGGTCAAAATGAGAAAACGATTCAGTGTGGAAAAATCTCTCGTTCATCTCTGGCTCCAGGTGATCCTATTTTCTTACTATACAACGATGATATCCTGCCTACAAGCCATTTATATTTATTTGATTTTTTTTGTTTTTTTGTTTTTTGTTTTATTTATAAGTAGGTTGCAATGTATGTAAACCAATAATTGTTTTATCATTTTGTGGCAATGATTTGGCCTTATTAGGCATTAGACACATTCAGGATCGTAAACTTGAAGTCATTTATTACACTTACAATAACCTTTTGGTAAATGTCTCTTATTAGTCTCTGCCCATATTTGGTAAATGTTTCTTATCTGTCTTTGCCCATGTTCGTTAAACGATTTGATCAGTCTATGTCTATATTTGGTAAATGTGTTTTATGAATGACAATGCGTAAATAGGTGGTACTGATGACTATTTCTTCAGGTCTGTCACCTCTGAAACTTAACTACATAACTGTAGCTAGAAACTTACACAAACTCTCTGTTGTGAACACTATTGATGAAGTAGAGCACATGAGTCTTTTCTAGGTTCTGATACATACATATTAGGTAGGTAGTACTTGGAGATTCACAAACTCTACAAACACCCAGTACTTTGTTTAGATGTGGATTTCTTTTTAATATTATCAAACCTTTTGCTGGATTTTCACTAAACCTGCCTGTAGTTTCACACATCAATATGACAGCTTCTTTTTATATTTTAACTGTGTGTTTTCTGTTTTCTGGATAATCATTTTATATTTGATCAGAAGAATTTATGGAGATTATTATATCTACTTATTAATTAATAGTATGTGACAGATAACACTAAATGTATAGGTGTATAATGGAACAGTTATATAGAACTAACCATGTGTAATCTAAAGTAAAACCTTGTTATACTGACCAGACAGTAACAGGTTGGCATTGTAATTGTAATAGAGTATGGGGGGGGCGAGGGCAGTGAATATCTTAATATAATCTTATATGTTGTTATTGAGAAAAGAAAACATTGATATACATTAATGTAGAGGTTTCAAACAAGAGGGATCGTATCAAGGTTTAATGGTATGTAAAAAAGAGGCATTATATCAAAGTCTTATTGTATATAAACATGGGACATTATATCAAGGTTTTACTCTACATAAACAAAGGGCTTTATATCTAGGTTTTTAGCCAGCCGTCAGTTAAATAATTCTAAAATTTCATGTATAAGGACCCCTTGGTCCCAATTTGTGCATTATCCAATTTTTGGACTGATCCAAAAAAACAACATGGCCAACATTCTGATATCATTATTTGTTGAAAAATACTAGATAGATCTGTCTCATTATATCGCTTTCCCTTGGTCTGTAGTTAAGCCCATTTGATTTTGGGATGATCAAGACACAAAATAGCTGACAGGCAGCCATCTTGGAATTTTGACAATGAAAGTTTGTTATCGCTATTTCTTGAGAAGTACTTGATTGATCTTTGTAGGTTTCCATGATTTCTGATTGTGCCCATTTGAAACTGATCAAAAATATGCCTGACAGGCAGCCATCTTGGAGTTTGTTATTTCACAGAAAAAAATGGATGGATCTTTCTAGAAATTTCTTATGTTGGTTTTGATTTTGTTGAATGATCACTGAAACAAAATTCTAACTGGTAACCATCTTGGATTTTGACAATGACAGATTGTAAATCCTTGTATCACCTTGTTGATCAGACATTGGTGTGTGCTAAAGATCCCTCAGGAATCTCTGACTTCTGTATACATTGTATAAGTTACGAGCATTATATCATAGTTGATAAATGAGGGATATATCCAGATTTTCCTGTAGGTAAACAGGGGCCATGTTATTTAGAATTTCGCTATACAATGTACATGGACAATAGGTATTATATTCATGACTTTGTTTTTTTGCTGTATGTAAACAAGAAGCTTCAATTATCAATGGCTTTCTGTATAAGAGCACACATCAGCATATTATTATCATGGTTTACTCGTATAGACTTCTGATTTAGGAAATTACAAAGTTTATTAAGTTACTTTCATTTCAAAATTTATATTGTAATATTTCATAGCAATTATAATTGAATTCAAAATTCATGAATATCATTACAACACATTTTGATCGTAGCAACTGATGTGGTGAAGAAACTGAGAGATCTGTTTAAACTATGATACATGGTAGCAAACCATTGAATGAAATCAATATCTGATTCTGTATTTACTCTATATTTAGTCTGTGTACATGGTTTGTGTACATAGTCTGTGTACATGGTCTGTGTACATGGTCTGTGTACATAGTCTGTGTACATGGTTTGTGTACATAGTCTGTGTACATTGTCAGTATACATGATCTGTGTACATGGTCTATGTACATGGTCTGTGTACATAGTCTGTGTACATGGTCTGTGTACATAGTCTGTGTACATGGTTTGTGTACATTGTCAGTATACATAATCTGTGTACATGGTCTGTGTACATGGTTTGTGTACATAGTCAGTGTACATGGTTTGTGTACATGGTCAGTATACATGGTTTGTGTACATTGTCAGTATACATGGTCTGTGTACATGGTTTGTGTACATGGTCAGTATACATGGTTTGTGTACAATACTCTACATTGACTCTGCCTTGATGTATGACACATATATGTTGTATATTTAATACCCCTATTGTTGTAATGCAGGATTACCAGACTTGGTGTGACCTACGCAAGTTGGAGGAAATGGTCGGCCAGCGATACCTCACACATGAGTCTGACGACGACAGATGGGAACAGTACAGAAAGGAGCGCTCCCTAAAATCTTGGAAAGACATTGGGATGAAAGGTGTGAATGAGACGTATAATCTGAGTAAATCTCGCAGTGAACGTGTCAGTACTGGTGGTGCCTCCTGATGTGTCGTCACTTTGATATTGTAATCCCACTCCTTCCAGCCCCCACTGGGCCATGCCCACTCGGTTACTCGTCTGACCACGCCCACTTGGCCAAGCCTATGACCACGACAACCACAGCATTTACTCCATCCAGAAACCTTGTCCTGTTTTCTAAATTCATTTGTGATGCTATTTTTTCTCCTTTGTACGGAATTTGTCTTTCTATTTGCATGCACATGCAATGAAATACCCACCGAAGATTATGTAATCAAAAGTCAATCTGTTACTGTTGTTCTTTCACTATGTAAATGTAATGGCAATTTGAATGTTTCGTCTTCTATACAGATATATGGACAATGACATATTTCCTTTGACTATTATTTTAGGACTTAATAAATCAAAATTTATTTAAGATATTGAAAGTATGGTGAATATTTGTTCACAGAAGTTGACAACAAACTTGTTTACAGAAGTGAACAGCAAGCCCTGTTGACAACAAACTCTGTTATTAAATGTTGACAACAAGCCTCAATAGCCATGATACTGACATTATGACTGCCATGATGTGCAGTCTTGCATGAGCTTCAGACCACTTTCTTTTAGAATGTGGGTCCAAGACACACTGATGGCAGGGGATAATGTGATTTTTCCATGTGTTTTTTTTTCCAACACTGAAAACATTTGCTCCCATAGTGGCATGATAATGAATGCTCTACAGAGCTTATGTTGATTGTTGAACAATGCAAAATAAGGGTTCATTTCCTTTCCAAGCTCTGTTAGTAGATATGGACAACAAGCTCCGTTATAGGATGTTGGTAACAACCAACTCTGTGTACAGAAGTTAGAAGTAAACTCTGTTTGCAGTTGTTAATAACTTTCTTTGTTTACCAAAGTTGGTGTTAAGCTCTGTTTACGGAGTTTGTAGTCAGCTCTGTTTACAGAAGGTTGTAGTAAGTTCTGTGCCCTGAAGGAGTGAACAACTTAAAATTTGGATAAGTTAATAAATATAAAAGAATGTAATTACGTTTTTGAGGTAAAATTTTACTTTTCAATTTCATTGTTATTTGCATGATTGTCTTTTGGCATGCTTTTTGGATAAGAATACCTCAATTGTCTCAGATTTCTAAATGAATATTGTGTTGATGAAATCTTAAGCATGTCTTTCTTATACAAAAAACGTTCTACATTTCTCCTGTCACTTGCAATGCAAAACTGAAACTACAGTGATTGTTGACTCAAGACTATAGTAATGGCAAAGATATGAAGGCCTGGGCCGATCATGCCTGTGTTTACTTAATTCACTGAGCCTCAAAACATTTTTTAACCCAGTTAATGAAACCTTGCAATTGTCCTTTGTTCACAGTTTGTTCCACTTGTCATCTTTACATGTAAAACACTATTGTCCTCAAATTCTTAAAATATGGGTGCTATGTTTAGACTCTTAGGTTTTGCTGCAAGACTCATCCCTGGTTAATAAGGGAGGTAAGACACATCCCTGATCAATAAGGGAAGTTTTGCTGTAAGACACTTCCCTGATAAATAAGGGAGGTTTTGCTGTAAGACACATCCTTGATAAATAAGGAAGGTTTTGCTGCAAGACACATTCCTGATAAACAAGGAAGGTTTTGCTGTAAGACACATCCCTGATCAATAAGGGGGTTTCGCTGTAAAACTCATTCCTGATAAATAAGGGAGGTTTTGCTGTAAGACACTTCCCTGATAAATAAGGGAGGTTTTGCTGTAAGACACTTCCCTGATCATTAAGGGAGGTTTTGCTGATAAAGGGGAGGTTTTGCTGTAAGACACTTTCCTGATAAATAAGGAAAGTTTTGCTTTAAGACACTTCCCTGATAAATAAGGGAGGTTTTGCTGTAAGACACTTCCCTGATCAATAAGGAAGATGTAAGATTTTGCCTTTTTATTAGATTTTAGTTTCTGTAGGAAGCAGGATACTTCAGCAGTAACTTATTCAATAATCTCAGAATAGTGAAAGCCTTTGGCTGTAAGAGTTCCTATCTTCTTCACATAGAATGGCATTTCTGGTAAGCAGAGTTTGCCTTGTCATGGTAATTCTTCTGGTTAGGAGAAATCTCCAGCACTACAGTGTGTGTTAGGGAGTCACAGAGCTCCTGATTATTTATAAAGCAGGACAGGACAATAAAGGCCTTTACTGTATTGGCTAGGCCGTGAAACTTAATCAGTGGCCTACATGCAATTCATATTTTGTACTGTTTTTACCGTATTTTGTCAATCAGTGTTATAAATATATGTTTTGTGGTATATAATTTATTTGTATTTTTAAGGGAAGGGGGACAATTATTTTAAGTATGTGTTTATTAACTCTCAGTACTTTTTATACAGTTTTACAGATTCTCTTACTAAATGTACTATTTGATATCTTTTTAAAATTACCCTCAACTCACAGAGAGTTAGCAAACAAAAAATAGGGCCCAAAATCTCAATTGTTAGTCTCTGTGACCAACATGTCAGATCGTCCCTTTTCTGATGTTAGGATACCCCTGTACACGTTAACGAGGCCTTTAGCATGTTTCATTTACATACAAGTCCATTATTACAGTGTTTGTTCTCCACCAAATCTGTTTCCATGATTTATCTCAGTATTAAATTGTTTTGAAAGCTGACAGATATACTGTTTTATTATAATCTTCTCAGCTTTTAATTAATTATAGTAATAATTGATGTTATTCAAGTATTCTCATAATGTTACAAAGTATAGCCTTCCTGTGTTAGGGAGTTATACAATTTACCAGTCTAGGGAAGTAAAGTGCTACCTATGTTTTCTACAGTAGAAGTTAGGTACAGATCTGATTCATTGCATAATTATGAACAATTAACCGCAAAATCTTGATCCTCATTCCAGAGCATATGTATGACATTAAGAGTCATCATGACAGAGAAAAAGTGCTAGTGTCTTATTATGCTTCTCTGATTAGTACCAAGTATATCTAGGAACAGGAGTTATCTCCCTTCGCAAATTTTAGAACAGATCTGTTGGTACATTTCTCTCCTGTTTCTATGTTGAAGTGCAGTCACTCTTCTGTTCTTACAAAAGTCTATTCAGAGGCAGTGACTTTTCTCTGTTCCTACATTCAAAGGCGGTACTGGGGTAAATCTCTTCTGTTTGCACTACTAGGGACATCAACTCTTCTCCTTTGGAGCAGTATTTGAGAGTGAAAGTTCTCAATAGTCCATTTCCCCATCAGATATTTCTGTGGGATCATATTAATATTAAAAGTACCAGCAGCCAAATTTTTATGTTTTATGTATAATTATCTGTGGTTTTTTAACTTATCTTTGTCACTGTTACTGTTTAATGACAGAGAAAATGAGTTTAAATGATGACAAAAGTGTTATCTTTTGATGTTTGTGTCTTCTAAACTGTATCAGATTATTTACAAGGATCAAGTTTCAACATAAAATGATAATGTTTAGGTCCCCCACAGTAGCCTGAAGGAAAGTTACATTAGTGGAGGATTTGTAATATAAAAAAGAACTATGAAATGTCTCTGATAATGCAATATACAAACAATTTTTATTTAAACTTTTGATATTTTCTCCCAATTTATTTATATAATAGTCTGGTACTCTGGCCTTGTTTTATGATGTAAGTGTATCAGTCAGTCTCTGAAGATGCTATTTTATGATGTTTTGACTGATATCATTGTAATGTCGAAGCTGTCGTCCATGAAAGACAAGTCACTGTTTCAGCATTTACATGTCTGAGGTCAAACACACACCATTTCAAATACCATGTCCATAACATCATCTAACTGGCCCCACCATTTCTAGTTCTGGTTATATATGATATGCAACACTGTGAAACAGATAGTATAGCCAATAGCTGCCTTATATTTATGGTTAGACCAAGATCTCTATGTCATGCATGTTGTACAGAATATTTATATATTAGGCTATCAGGTTCTGCAGAATAACATGCCCTAGCTAGAAGTTGCAGGGCACACCACTTCAGACAGCTTGAGGTTTCATGTCTGAAAAAAATAAAGGGTACATTAGATGGAGGAATGGGTAAAGGGTCTGCAAAATGTAGAAGAGGGTGTTAAAAGGAAGCGGGGAGTGAGCAGAGGGCAGGGCTCTATTTTGCCAGAATACAGAGGCGTTTTTTTAGGAAAGTTTCATAGGTTGAGGATAAGGGTCTGTAATATTATGGGGTTGTGGCCATGGGTCTGTAAACTTCAGGGGTTTTGATTATGGATCTGTAAATTTCTGAGAGATTAGGCTAAGGGTCCGTTAACATTTGTGGTTGAGGCTTGAGTGTTATCAACATTTCTGGGATTATGGCTGTGTCTAATGTCTAATGATGTCCCTAGTGTCTAATGGTTAGGGCAATGAATCTGTAAACTTCGAGGATTAAGGCAATGATATAAAAACTTTTAGGGTTTGGGCTATGAATATGTACATTTTGGGGATTTCGGCTATGAATATGTACATTTTGGGGATTTCAGCTATGAATATGTACATTTTGGGGATTTCGGCTATGAATATGTACATTTTGGGGATTTCAGCTATGAATATGTACATTTTGGGGATTTCGGCTATGAATATGTACATTTTGGGGATTTCGGCTATGAATATATAAATTTTGGGGTCAGGACTTTGGATTTAGCGTTTATGCTATGGATCTGAATATTGAGGTTGGGGACACATTTGATTGTAATGGATGGGTTGCAGAAGAAACCTTTTTACTTCATAGGGCATGGTTAAGGATGTAAACTTCAGAATAGAAGACAATGAAATACTTTAGGAAAACTTTGTGGTTTGTAGTGGGCTTGCTATTCTGTGGACTGATGGCCTGTAATGACTGTAGATTAATATGTGGATCATTTAATATTGTAAGCCATGTTACTGTGTACATACATTGTAAATGTCGGAGGTAGATTCACAACAAACAGCCTGTCCATGTCCAGTTTGTTGTCTACATATTGAGATGGGAGATTAACTATTACAGGTATAATGTGTTTAAATACTTCTCATTATGCAAGGAAACACAAGACATGTATAGTTCTTAAGTCCTGGCAACACTGACTCAATGTGATAGGTCCAAACCACAACACCACACTCAGGAGTCACACTACCTCAGTCAGGTAAAACAATACACAAGTCAGGTAACAAAACACCTCAGGCAGGTAACACAACACCTCACTTGGGTAACACAGCACCTCACTCGGGTAACACAACACCACACTCAGGTAACGCAGTACCTCAGGCAGGTAACACAACACCTTACTCAGGTAACACAGTACCTCACTCCGGTAACACAACACCACACTCAGGTAACACAACACCTCAGGCAGGTAACACAACACCACACTCAGGTAGCACAACACCTCAGGCAGGTAACACAACACCTTACTCAGGTAACACAGCATCTCACTCTGGTAACACAACACCACACTCAGGTAACACAACACCTCAGGCAGGTAACACAACAACTTACTCAGGTAACACAGTTCCTCACTCAGGTAACACAACACCACACTTGAGTAACACAACACCTCAGTCACATAAGACATCACCTAAGGTAACTAAACACCTCAGTGAAGAAATACATCACTTCATTCAAGTAATACATTGCCTCAGGTAACAAAACAGCATTCAGGTAACAATACTTCAATCAGGTAACACATCACCTCAGTCAAATAACAATTCAAGTCAGATAACACAACATCTCCATCAGGTAACACATCACCTCAGTCTGGTAACCCAATATCCCGTCACGTAACGCATCATCTCAATAAGGTAACAC